TCAGTGCTGGATACATTGGGCACAGTGCTGGATATAATGGGGATAGTGCTAAATATGAGCATAGTGTTGGGTATAATGGGGATAGTGCTAAATATAATGAACATAGTGCTTGGTATAATGGGCACATTGCTGGATACATTGGACACAGTGCTGCATATAATGGGCATAGTGCTGGGTATAATGGTTATATTGCTGGATATCTTTAGGATATATAGTGATGGGTATAATGGGCACATGGCTGGATATTTTTAGCATATATAGTGATGAGTATAATGTGCACAGTATCGGGTATAGTGGTGGAATTGTTGGATATATTGGGCACAGTGCTAGGAATATTGCGCATAATGCTGTATATTTTGGGCACACTGATGGATATAATGATCACAGTGCTAAATATGTCACACAACTGGGTATAATGGTCACATTGCTGGATATATTGGGCACATTGCTGGAAATATTGGGCATAGTGCTGGATATTTTGGGCACAGTGATGAATATATAAAGAGCACAGTGCTAAATATAATGGGCACAGTACTGGATATAATGAGCACAGTACTTTGTATGATGGTCACAATGCTGGATATATTGGGCATAGTGCTGAATATAATGATCTCAATGCTGGATATATTGGGCATAGTGCTGGATATGATGGGCACAGTACTTAATATAATAGGCTACAGTACTTGATATAATGGGCACAGTACTTGATATAAAAGGCATAGTGCTGGATATATTGGGCATAGTGCTGGATATGATGGGCACAGTACTTGATATAATGGGCACAATGCTGTATACATTGGGCATAGTGCTGAATATAATGGTCTCAATGCTAGATATATTGGGCATAGTGCTGAATATAATGGTCTCAATGCTGGATATATTGGGCATAGTGCTGAATATATTGGGCGCAGTACTTGTTATGATGGCCACAATGCTGGATATATTAGGGCATAATGGTCATATTGCTGGATATCTTTAGGATATATAGTGATGGGTATAATGGGCACATGGCTGGATATTTTTAGCATATATAGTGATGAGTATAATGTGCACAGTATCGGGTATAGTGGTGGAATTGTTGGATATATTGGGCACAGTGCTAGAAATATTGCGCATAATACTGGATATTTTGGGCACACTGATGGATATAATGATCACAGTGCTAAATATAATGTCACACAACTGGGTATAATGGTCACATTGCTGGATATATTGGGCACATTGCTGGAAATATTGGGCATAGTGCTGGATATTTTGGGCACAGTGATGAATATATAATAAGCACAGTGCTAAATATAATGGGCACAGTACTGGATATAATGATCACAGTTTTTTGTATGATGGTCACAATGCTGGATATATTGGGCATAGTGCTGAATATAATGATCTCAATGCTGGATATATTGGGCATAGTGCTGGATATGATGGGCACAGTACTTGATATAATGGGCACAGTACTTGATATAAAAGGCATAGTGCTGGATATATTGGGCATAGTGCTGGATATGATGGGCACAGTACTTGATATATTGGGCACAATGCTGTATACATTGGGCATAGTGCTGAATATAATGGTCTCAATGCTGGATATATTGGGCATAGTGCTGAATATAATGGTCTCAATGCTGGATATATTGGGCATAGTGCTGAATATATTGGGCGCAGTACTTGTTATGATGGCCACAATGCTGGATATATTAGACATAGTGCTGAATTATAATGGCCACAATGCTGGATATATTGGGCATAGTGCTTGATATGATGGGCACAATACTTGATATAATAGGCACAGTACTTGGTATGATAGCCGTGATGAGCTGGATATATTGGGCATAGTGCTGAATATAATGGTCTCAATGCTGGATATATTGGGCACAGTGCTGGATATGATGGGCACAATACTTGATATAATGGGCACAGTATTTGGTATGATGGCCACAATGCTGGATATATTGGGCATAGTGCTGAATATAATCGTCTCAATGCTGGATATATTGGGCATAGTGCTGGATATGATGGACACAGTACTTGATATAAACAGTACTTGGTATGATGTCCACAATGCTGGATATATTGGGCACAGTGCTGATTATAATGGTATCAATGCTGGATATATTGGGCATAGTGCTGGATATGATGGGCACAGTACTTGATATAATGGGCACATTACTTGGTATGATGGCCACAATGCTGGATATATTGGGCACAGTGCTGAATATATTGGTCTCAATGCTGGATATATTGGCATATTGCTGGATATGATGGGCACAGAACTTGATATAATGGGCACAGTACTTGATATAATGGGCACAGTACTTGATATAATATACAAAATGCTGGATATAATGGGCACATTACTTGGTATGATGGCCACAATGCTGGATATATTGGGCACAGTGCTGAATATATTGGTCTCAATGCTGGATATATTGGCATATTGCTGGATATGATGGGCACAGTACTTGATATATTGGGCACAGTACTTGATATAATGGGCACAGTACTTGATATAATAGACAAAATGCTGGATATATTGACATAGTGCTTAATATAATGGTCGCAATGCTGGATATATTGGGCACAGTGCTGAATATATTGGTCTCAATGCTGGATATATTGGCATATTGCTGGATATGATGGGCACAGTACTTGATATAATGGGCACAGTACTTTATATAATGGGCACAGTACTTGATATAATGGGCACAGTACTTGATATAATAGACAAAATGCTGGATATATTGACATAGTGCTTAATATAATGGTCGCAATGCTGGATATATTGGGCATAGTGCTGAATATAATGGTCGCAATGCTGGTTATATTGGGCATAGTGCTGGATATGATGGGCACAGTACTTGATATAATGGGCACAGTACTTGGTATGATAGCCGTGATGCGCTGGATATATTGGGCATAGTGCTGAATATAATGGTCTCAATGCTGGATATATTGGGCATAGTGCTGGATATGATGGGCACAGTACTTGGTATGATGGCCACAATGCTGAATATATTGGGCATAGTGCTGGATATGATGGGCACAGTACTTGATATAATGGGCCCAGTACTTGGTATGATGGCCACAATGCTGGATATATTGGGCACAGTGCTGATTATATTGGTCTCAATGCTGGATATATTGGCATATTGCTCTATATGATGGGCACAGTACTTGATATAATAGACACAATGCTGGATATATTGACATAGTGCTTAATATAATGGTCGCAATGCTGGATATATTGGGCATAGTGCTGGATATGATGGGCACAGTACTTGATATAATGGGCACAGTACTTGGTATGATAGCCGTGATGTGCTGGATATATTGGGCATAGTGCTGAATATAATGGTCTCAATGCTGGATATATTGGGCATAGTGCTGGATATGATGGGCACAGTACTTGATATAATGTGCACAGTACTTCGTATGATGGCCACAATGCTGGATATATTGGACACAGTGCTGAATATAATGGTCTCAATGCTGGATATATTGGGCATAGTGCTGGATATGATGGGCACAG